GTAGTAGACGAATAATCGAAATACATTTTAAAAATAATATCTGGTAATACGTCAAAAAAGTACAAAAAAGTTTCTTTTTAATCATGTTCAAGTTCGTATTCAATTTCCGTACACACAAAAACTTCCTTTTGAACAGGAACAAAAACTGATTTAGATCTAAGTGAAACGCACGATTGAATACAAAGGAAGGGATAAGAGGCACTTTCAAGAGAAAAAAAGTTATTTATACGAGTACTCCAAGGATTTATCTTATTAGTTTGAGAACTAAAAGAAGAAAACGATAGTCTAAGGCATGCCATTCGATTAAAGAAAAAGAACATCTTTGTTTGATATGTTGAAACTTTTTTAAAACATGATGAGCAATAGATTATTGTTTTATATGAAAATTTCACATTTAAATCATTCCAAAGTTTATCACAATTATTTCGAATTTCTCTGAAAAAAAAGAAACAATAATTTGGCAACACAATAATACAGACACACTTTATACATTCAAGTTGAACAATATGTAATATTTAGCATCTTACAGCGCAGATATTCCTCGAATAAGATTAAGTAAAGCATTACTTTTTGTTTTATTCATATTCGCTTGTCGAATAAACAGAGCTATGTTCATTTTCAGTTAAGTTTCAGGTGAATATCTAGATGATGGATAAATTTCTCCAGGTTCATCTGGATCATACATCTGCATCCCCTGAATTTCATTGTCGAAATCTATCTAAAAAAGATATATAATTTTCATTCTATCTTATATACTTAACTTTATTATGTAATTATCTACATCAACCGCATCGAGATAACAGTAAATATTACCTTCATTAATAACAACATCATCATTTTCAGTAAATATTTCACCTTTTTGCATATTTATTAAATTTTAATTCTGTTGTTGCATATTAACGCTCAATGAATCAGACTTTTGTTGATGTACCAATGAAAATGAAGTAAGAAGAGCACAGCTATAATTTTTTGTGTTTGTTTGGTTTTTTGACGTTCTAAAGAAAGAAGAATAGAGACTTTTCGGTGATCAACTTTTTTAAAATACTCACGACGAACTAATGCTTGTTCATATCGATATTTACATTGGATACTACATAGATTTCTCTCCATATGATGAATGAATGCGAAAAAAATGAGAACAAAAAACTATTCTTACTCATAATCAAAAATACCTATTGATAAATAAACACACACTTACTTATTGTAGCACCATATGAACAATAACTACAACTGATACGCCTTTTTAGAAATAAAAACGAACAAAGACACTTGCATGATATCATTCTTTGTGAGAAATCATCGATGCTAGCTCCATTCCTCTTTCTCCTTCTACAAGATGTCAGGACCTCTGTCGTATGCGTGATGAAACACAAAGAAACACGCTCGATATACTTAGTGCGCGTGACGACACATGTCGCCATATGTATGGAGCATGATAAATGTGGTGTAACGCGTATACAGGCCGTACGCATTGACTAGGGTTGCTTGTTTTAAAATTCGATTGGCTTGTGAACTTCTCTCTACGTTCAACAATTTACATTCATACTGATATTTATTTGTTTACATTCATATTGAAAGTATTTGTTAGTTTATATATTCATATTTTGTTGACAATTGTTGGATTACATTCATATCAATAACTATTTATTAGTTAACATTCATTAAATTCATATTCAAACTATTTATTAGTTTACATTCATATTATATTGATATCTTTTTGGTTAAATTCATATCGATAATTATTTGTTGGTTATATACATTAATATTTAACAAAGGTAAAAGTGGAGAAACTTCAGCTTTTTGTTAATTCTGCTAATCTGTTCTAGGTGAGCTATGGCTCGATTATTCTTGACCTCGTTATCTAAATCGATGATTAGTATTATAAGAATTCCACAACCTTCATTGTTATTGAAAGTTTGTCGTAATAATTCCTCGAGTATCACATCAAGTTTTGATCATCATAAAAAACCTGATGGTATGTTTTCTCTCTATTTAACTTTTAATCCTGAATCTGTATTATGTTTTTTTTCTTATTCTAGTTAAAACACATTTATTGTCATTGTTAATAGAATTGCGAGATAAGGATATTCCTAAACTTGATAGTCGCATCACATCTTTATTAAATGTTGCTAAACAAAGTGTTCCATTAAATAAGTTCAATACGTCTTTCAAGAACATTGAAACATTATTATCGAATGATATTACTAAATTAAAATATGATATAGATCAATTGATTATTTCATTACAATATATTCCGGTACAAAATTTTGATTCGAATAAGATTGATCAGTTCTTACTTCTCAATGAAAAAATTGATCGACAATGTATCAATGCATCGATCATACATAATGTCTTTCAAGGTTTAGTTGATGTGATTGATGATCTTTGGATTGCAAAACGCTCTAAACTAAAATTTCAATCAACTATTGCCGATGTAAAATTATTTCTTGAACGTTTACAAGAAGAAAATATTGATTTAAAAGTATCTGTTTCACATCTTCACAAACAAGATACCCCATGTAAAAATAAAATATGCATTTAACGAAGAGAGGGTTGAAATTAACGTCAAAACTTGCGTTAAGAGACAAATTAACGAAGTTTAACGAAGAAAGCTGCATTATTTTTCGTTAAATTAGGAAAAATCGTGAAAACACGTTAGATTTTTCACGCTTTTTCACGCGTTGTTGTTTTTTTAACGATCATCATCTCCCATATAAAAATAAAATATGCATTTAACGAAGTTTAACGAAGAAAGCTTCATAAATTTTTGGTAAGTTAGGGAAATTCGTGAAAACGCGTTAGATTTTTCACGCTTTTTCACGCGTGGTTGTATTTTTAACGGTCACCAACTCGTTGCATGGCGTTTAATATTGCATTCGTTTTCATGCGTGAAGTTTTTAACGATGCTTCTTGCGTTTTTTCATTTTTAACGAGCTATATCGTGTTAACTATCATGGAAAGCTAGGTTCGTTTACACGCGTGAAGATATTTAACGATGTTTCTTGCGTGCTTTTATTTTTAACGAGCTTCATCGTGATAACTATCGTTAAACATTGCATTCGTTTTCGCACGTAGAGTTTTTTAATTTTCCTACTTGAATTATAAAATGATTTACAAGCGCTTAGAACTTATACATATTCCTGTGCTGTTCACTTTAAATTTATTCCGATTTGGTTCGTATGACAGAATAGATCCATATAAAAGTAAAAACAGTTAATTGTTTTTTGTGATAGGTTTTAGGTAAGAAAGAATTAACTATAAAAGTACAGAAAATAGGATGACAAACATTTAGTAACAGCATAAGCATAGCTGTACAGTTGAGTGAACGTACAAATTTTTCTAAAAGCTCAAAAAAAATTTTATGTAGCTGGACTTGAAACTTTTCATGGTTCTTTATTATCGAGTTAAACTAAGTTGCCTATTTTGCTCATAGAATTCACATCTAATATGAGAAACGTTACTTGTTCATCTTCAATAAATGCTTAAGCTGACGTATACGTTACTGCTCAGAATTTTTTATACATTGCTATTGATCGCAAATGTGATGAGCTTTCTCCAATGGTCGATATCTTCCTAAGTTTTATTCGTTCAGAAATAAAATTTAGCAAGATATTAATCGTTGAGGAAAGTTCATCACACTTGCGATCAATAACAATGTATAAAAAATTCTGAACAGTAACGTATGCATCAGCTTGAGTATTTATCGAGGAAAAACGCGTTAAACGATCTATTTTTAACACAGAAAGACGCGTTAAACGATCCTTTCTTTAACGAAAGAAAACGAGTTAAATTTTCACGCATTTAACGCGTTTTTAGGGTCAGAAAGGTAACATTAAATTTTGTTAAATCGTTAAATTTTTAACGAATTTTCACGTCACAAAACTTCGTTAAATTGCAAAAAATTTTTACATGGGACATTTCAAAAATATCAATCATGTGTTAGTGAACTAATGCGACACATTATTCGATCGATCAAGAAGGAGTTTCGAAGAAAACTTGAAATGGAATATATGTCAGAAAATTTTGATCAAGCTACATTTGAAAGTTTACTTAATGATCCTCAACATGAAGAAATAAAAGAAAATCTCAACTTAGATGATAATCAAATAGATTTGATCTTGACAATATTTGACAAAATCTGTTCGAAATATGGTTTTCCAAATAAAACTATTTTGGCTCAGTATCTATTGATTGTATCAATACGCAATCAACGAGAACATGATAGGATGGATTCTTTTATAAAACTAAGTCCTGATGATCAACGTTCATTTGAAAAATATTGTGAAAAAAATAATTTAATTGACCATTACCAACGTAAAGATCATATTCTACTTGAAAGTTTATTTACATTGTATGTCACAGATCTAATTCAAAAATTAAAGAAGAACCAAGAAACGTGAGTGAAAATATTTACTCTTTATCCTGCAAACCGCTATTATTAATAAATTCTTGTTTTTTCTTTTCTTTAGTCCAACAGAGCCAATAACTTGAAGATGATTTAGCTGGTGGTTATGAAAAAAAACATTTTTCTCTTGTCATATATTTTTTTCAATAAATGTTTTTCATTTGAAACATATCTGTTTTTTTTCGATTGAATTTCTCTGATTCAAAGATCTAATTTTCGCAACTAAATCAAAAACATGGGAATTATTTTATCCTTGATAATCTTTCTTTTTCACATATCATCTGAGCATAAAATGGTCAAAAAAACTGAGCTCTAAAGTTCGTTAACTCAAAACTTGGAGCTTACTTACGCAGTCACCTTTAAGAATAAAGTCCTGTCTAAATATTGCAATTTGTAGGAGTAAGGCCTCCCGAGTGAAATCCTAGATGGAGAGTTGTGTGTGTGCTGTTAGACAGATATGCTACTTGAGATGTTAGAGGCATCGCATGGGATGCTAGAAGCATCATGGATGTGAGTAGAGTTTCTCTTTCACGTCGACACACCCACACCCTTTCTTTTAAAATGTCAATTCATATTCGAGATTGATTTTTTCTCAAATGTTACCATAACGAATCATAGTCTATTTCAATTTTATTCAATTTTATAAGAAAAAAAAGCCAATGAAACTATTCGATTTTTTTTGTTATCAAATATTTCAATATGATTAAAACGATCTGTTTGAATTAAATTGGATAAAATTATAATGTGAGATGGATACATATAATAGATTTACTCGTAAAACATCCTAGAATTCTGTATTAGAAGATAATTAGAATTTAATTCTAAATATGTCTATAGTAGAGAGATTTTATTTCTTATATCTATATAGCCTTTCATATTTCTAATCTACTTTAATTAATTAAATAAACGGATATTAATTTCAATAAATCTATCATCTCGATGGTAAATTATTATTTATTAATTGTAAATATATTTATTTCTATAATAGGATCTATATATGAGAATAAACTTGATATTGAATTAATCAAATGACGAAAAAGATCTTTTATTGAAGGTTCGTTGTTATTTTATAAAAGAAAGAATCGTTAAATAAATCTTATCTATTATCATATATTCAATAGATTATAAATGTTAATTGATTATGTTTAGATTAGTATAGATTTAAATTAGTCTAGAGATTGAATAAGATATATATTAAATATATAAATTGTTTTAGATTTTAAAATTAAATTCAATATTTAAATTTTTACACAAATTCATATGTTTAAAACTCTATGTAACTCTTAAACATTGAAACATATATTGTGTTTTTTTGTTAATATTAACATGTTAATTCAATTATTTTCAATAGATTTATTTATAAGAATAAATTAATAATATGAAGGAGAAATAAAATCTCGATATGTTAAAATAAAATAGTTATTTATCTTAAAAGAATATTTATTTCATATATAAATTACATTAATAAAACATTTATTGAAATAATAAACGATAAAAAAACGTTCGTTTTGACGATATATATAATCAAAGATTATTTATTGATTTATATCATATGCAAACTAATTGAGATCTTATATAATATGAATATTGAAGAGTGGTTTATATTGATATAAGTCAACGCATATAATCATATGAAATATTTATATGAAAAGAATTTCTATGTATTTAAACAATAAATAATAATTATTTATCTTTGGTCGTTTCGAGATCAACTTTCCTTATTAACATTAACATTTAATCGAT